TCCACTATACATGTGATCATATTCAGTTGTCAGTTCACCCAACTCGTCAACTATTCTGAAGGCATGTACGTCCTTTTCGCCACATAAAGGTGTTTGCGTGCACCGATAATTGACTATTTTACTTACTTTCTTACTTTCAAAGCATGAATATATAATATATACATGTAAAATTATAATGTTGTTCGTGTTAAGTCTCGGCTCACATCTCTTTGCCTACACAGATAAGAAAAGGAGAAAGAGTTAGATCGTACAGAGCGCCTGTCAATAGGAGTTCACTGGCTTGCTGCTGGAAAATGTATTTTGAAAGCTGTGAGCAAGCTGATCACTGTTGACACGCTTTAAAAATATGAAAAAAAAACGACGCGACTGTGTGATAAACCAGCTATTTTATGTTCCCCGTTCTAGCTGATCGCTGGCAAACGTACTTTAGACTTATTAGAAAGTATTTCCATACATTTCTCTCGCCATACAACAGGTAGATGTGACATGTTGCAGGTAGGGGGCTAGGCGAAACGCACACGACCAAGGGCGCACAACTCTTGGCGCTCTATTTGAAAAGTCGTGCACAGGCGAGGCGTGTGTCGGTAAAACACCCCGTGGATGTCTGGCCTTTATCGCCGTTTTACACCTTTGAACACAACGTGCATGTGCAGCTACACACATAGGAAGTCTGCACTCAGGATATTATATATATCAACGACACTAATCGCCCCACTTTCCAACATACACCCATTTGGGGGGTTAATAAACAAGCATAACAACAGTCATTAGTGTGAAGACACACTACCCCACCCCCCCATCCCCCCCCCCCCCCCCCCACACACAATAAAATCCCTGACATACCTTTATCAACATCACCTATGTGTGTTATGTGCGTGGTGGGTGTTGCTGCCACGTTATCTCTGTTATCACGAGAACCTGCACTTTATTACTGCTAATATACATATTTATTGTTTTGTTATCAGTGTTTTCAAGTTTTCTTTTGGGGTATTTGGATGGCCCTGAAAAGGGCCTTTGGACCACAGAAATGTGGAGCGAAGGCGTGACAATGAGAGCTTAAGCCTTCTTTGGCTTGACTGCCTTCTTCTTGGGGGTCTTGACCTTCTTGGGTTTGGCTGCTGCCTTCTTGGGTGTCTTCGCCTTCTTGGGCTTGGCTGCAGCCTTCACCTTCTTTGGTGACTTAGCGGCCTTCTTAGCGGCTGTTTTGGGTTTCTTGGCAGCAGCTGGCTTCTTGACTTTCTTGGGGGATTTGGCAGCCTTCTTTGGTTTGGCAGCTGCCTTAGCCTTCTTGGGTTTTTCGTCTTTCTTTGCCTCGCCAAGACGGAATGATCCAGCGGCTCCAGTTCCCTTTGATTGCTTCAGTGCGCCGTTCTTGACTCCATTTTTCAAAGCAGTCTTGATGCGAGCATTGATGGCCACCTGGTTGTCACCAACCTTGTAGTTGGCCAAGATGTATTTCAGAACAGCCTGTCGGGAAGAACCACCCCTCTCCTTCAGGGTTGAAATAGCTTTCTTGATCATCTCCAAATAGGTAGGATGTGCGGCAGCCTTCTTAGGCTTGGCAGCAGGCTTCTTCTTGGGAGTCTTGACAACAGCGGGGGCAGCAGCAGCATCAGCCATAGTGGTAAGTTTGAGTGGTAAAAATTCACGTCAGCTACGAGAGAAGCACAGAGAGCGAATGACACTTCCCCACAGACAGCCCGGCTGATACTCCGGAGGCGCGGACGTCGGAGGAGACACCCTGCTTGTTGTGGCTGATAGCTGCACGCTTACAAGCGCGTGTGCTTTTTCGTGTATTTGTATCCGAATATAATCACTTCTTAATCAAGGAAAGTTTCAATTTCAACAATACAGTTAGGTAGTAAAAACATTTGGCTACATTTCGGTTACAATAGCAACGCTCACGGGTGAAGTTCAAAGCCACACGTGCTGTTTCCAATGAAGCGACCCAGTCTAAAATGTAGACATCGCTACTTTCAAAAGCACATTTTTAGCCTTGAGACTCAAGTTTATGCATTTTAAACGTTGCCTGTCAATTCTCAATATATCTAACTATGAAAGTAAAACACAACACTCATCAGTATTGCCTATGATAAGCTAGAACAAGCTTTCAAACAACGACAATGAAGCACGTTTTTCTGACGACTTCGCCATTTTGCAACAGAAAACATTTGACACTATATTTCTGGAGACATAATTTTGGTCACTTCAATTAGAGTTGAAACTAACTTTGTCATAACAAGTAAGTAACGGGGATTTTACTTTCAGGAAAACAGTCTAGTAAGACGAGGATCTCGGGACACAAGCAGCTAGGGCGCGAAGCCCCGAACAGTAACATATATACATTGGTGTTTAGATCACTCGATCGGTCGTCACAGATTAAGTCTTTTTGCCTGTCTTAATAGCACGATATTAGTAGGGGTCTTCGTCGTTTGGATGTTAATTTTACCAGAACAATATAGGCTACCATCCATCAACGAAAAGTGAATGTTTCAGACGAAAGGCCGGATCGAGTGAGCGAGTGTGCCGGGCCTCGTGTTAAACAGTGATCACATGTTTTTAGAACGGCTAGATTTTAATCCCTGTAAATATACATCATAAATCAACAAACACAACATGTCTACTGAACCCGCTGAAAACGCGAGCATGCTGTTTTCATGGCAATGTCTGTTTACCAATGTGTGGTGGCTATATGTAGCTAAAGTTTGCCGACAAGCATTGTCTACGGCCATACCACGTTGAAAACACCGGTTCTCGTCCGATCACCGAAGTTAAGCAACGTCGGGCCCGGAGAGTACTTGGATGGGTGACCGCCTGGGAACACCGGGTGCAGTAGACATTTTTGCTGTGCGATTCCCACTTTTTTTCTTTTTCGACCATAAGGTGCACTTGCCTCATTCACATCTGATGTAATCATACACTTTTATTTCCTTGTAAATGGCCCCACTCATGCATGTCTGCTCAAAGACATAGCTGCCAGCCATGTATTCTTACATACCTTTACAGAAAGGAATTTTCCACTATACATGTGATCATATTCAGTTGTCAGTTCACCCAACTCGTCAACTATTCTGAAGGCATGTACGTCCTTTTCGCCACATAAAGGTGTTTGCGTGCACCGATAATTGACTATTTTACTTACTTTCTTACTTTCAAAGCATGAATATATAATATATACATGTAAAATTATAATGTTGTTCGTGTTAAGTCTCGGCTCACATCTCTTTGCCTACACAGATAAGAAAAGGAGAAAGAGTTAGATCGTACAGAGCGCCTGTCAATAGGAGTTCACTGGCTTGCTGCTGGAAAATGTATTTTGAAAGCTGTGAGCAAGCTGATCACTGTTGACACGCTTTAAAAATATGAAAAAAAAACGACGCGACTGTGTGATAAACCAGCTATTTTATGTTCCCCGTTCTAGCTGATCGCTGGCAAACGTACTTTAGACTTATTAGAAAGTATTTCCATACATTTCTCTCGCCATACAACAGGTAGATGTGACATGTTGCAGGTAGGGGGCTAGGCGAAACGCACACGACCAAGGGCGCACAACTCTTGGCGCTCTATTTGAAAAGTCGTGCACAGGCGAGGCGTGTGTCGGTAAAACACCCCGTGGATGTCTGGCCTTTATCGCCGTTTTACACCTTTGAACACAACGTGCATGTGCAGCTACACACATAGGAAGTCTGCACTCAGGATATTATATATATCAACGACACTAATCGCCCCACTTTCCAACATACACCCATTTGGGGGGTTAATAAACAAGCATAACAACAGTCATTAGTGTGAAGACACACTACCCCACCCCCCCATCCCCCCCCCCCCACACACACAATAAAATCCCTGACATACCTTTATCAACATCACCTATGTGTGTTATGTGCGTGGTGGGTGTTGCTGCCACGTTATCTCTGTTATCACGAGAACCTGCACTTTATTACTGCTAATATACATATTTATTGTTTTGTTATCAGTGTTTTCAAGTTTTCTTTTGGGGTATTTGGATGGCCCTGAAAAGGGCCTTTGGACCACAGAAATGTGGAGCGAAGGCGTGACAATGAGAGCTTAAGCCTTCTTTGGCTTGACTGCCTTCTTCTTGGGGGTCTTGACCTTCTTGGGTTTGGCTGCTGCCTTCTTGGGTGTCTTCGCCTTCTTGGGCTTGGCTGCAGCCTTCACCTTCTTTGGTGACTTAGCGGCCTTCTTAGCGGCTGTTTTGGGTTTCTTGGCAGCAGCTGGCTTCTTGACTTTCTTGGGGGATTTGGCAGCCTTCTTTGGTTTGGCAGCTGCCTTAGCCTTCTTGGGTTTTTCGTCTTTCTTTGCCTCGCCAAGACGGAATGATCCAGCGGCTCCAGTTCCCTTTGATTGCTTCAGTGCGCCGTTCTTGACTCCATTTTTCAAAGCAGTCTTGATGTTGTTCGTGTTAAGTCTCGGCTCACATCTCTTTGCCTACACAGATAAGGTGGCGCGGACGTCGGAGGAGACACCCTGCTTGTTGCGGCTGATAGCTGCACGCTTACAAGCGCGTGTGCTTTTTCGTGTATTTGTATCCGAATAATCACTTTTAATCAAGGAAAGTTTCAATTTCAACAACACTGTTAGGTAGTAAAACATTTGGCCATAGCAACACTCACGGGACCATTGTTTTACTTCATGTTTTACAAGTGCTCGTCTTTATCCCTGTAAATATACACCAAATACAGCATTGTCTGTTTTAAGACATCCAAGATGTCGAGTGCCGATATGGGGCTAAAGATTGTGATTTTTAACTGTCTCCGGCGATATCACGCCATACAATTATTTCGCTTGGCGAAAACTGCTCCTTGTGTATGTTTGTGCGTGCATGCGTTAGCGTGTGTGTGTTCGTGCGTGTACTTGTGCATCAGAAGGCAATACAACGATTTCGAATCGTGCTTGAGTATATATTATCATAATCCCCTCCGTTCTTGCTACTGATTTTGTTTACCCGTTGTCAAGGGCAACAACTTGCTCACTGACTCGAAACGATCTTACGGGTTGTCTGGAACCCCGCTCAGTGTTTAATTACCAGCAACTCAACCACATACCTCCTGACGACGCATTGTATGCTTCTCAAACCATTGCCACGACCCAAGTCAACTATCGAGTTAACTGCAAGAGGCAGCCATATGTGAGACAAATATATACTGACTCGTCACGTGGGCACCCTGTTCTCTGCAATCCTTATCGCAGATGTCCTTCCAGTAGTGTCGTTAGCCTTCGCCCCGGGATATTTATTCAGCTAGGCAGGTACGTGATTCCTTACAACGCTATAGACCTAGCGGGTTTGTAATGATCTAACAACGGCTATGCTTTACTTGACTGGAGGTCATGTACAGCACGACGCCTATAGTGGTGGAGGTATTGTCAACAATGCTGCTATCGGCTTTTACAATCCATTAAAACAGTGTGTTTTATTCGGTATACGTCTCTGTTTGCCTGTCATTTGACACGGGTTTATCCACAGTTATTGGACTTGTGAACGGTTAGACTGGACGCGCGCGCACGCACACACACACGCACACACACACACACACACCATCACAATCGCACCATCACTCACATACATACACACATATGTGAGTGAGTGAGTGAGTTTGGTTTTACGCCGCTTTTAGCAATATTCCAGCAATATCACGGCGGGGGACACCAGAAATGGGCTTCACACATTGTACCCATGTCGGGAATCGAACCCGGGTCTTCAGCGTGACGAGCGAACGCTTTAACCACTAGGCTACCCGACCGACCCCAAACATATGTGAAAGGCTCACACATTTTCTCCATGTGACGAATCGGACACGGGTCTTCCATGTACAGCCATGCGCTTCCCCATGGAGACCTTGACCATTAATAACAATTATTCTCCGAAAAGAAACTATTTGCTTTTGGTTTTGGTAAGTTATATATTTTTAAAAAACTATGGGGAAAAGAAAAAATGCCTGTTGTTTTCAGTGTGTACATGAAAATGTTTAAAAATTTGACCTAATTAAATTTAACAGGCGGTCCATTTTACCGTCACTCATTCCTACTACTGTTCTAAACAGTAAACTGTGGCTAGAATTTGGTGTAAAAATAAATTGGTTCATTTGTTTTAATTTTTAAAAGTTTTAATTGGTTATAATATAGCTAACTCAAGATATTTTCAATTAAATATCAAACATATTAAATCAACTGAGTGGTATAGTTATTTTGCCCCTCACTTTATAAAATAGAACTGATCCCCCAGAGAATTTCTTCATTTATATTTGAAATCTAGGACTTTCAAAACTAGCCTAGAATTGCTTAGAATTGTCTTCATATCGTTTTTCAGGGACTGCATATGAGTTTGCCCCTGACCAAGCTCTTCGTGATGTACTCCGGTTCAACCTCCAGCATCTCCACATCAGGCTCAAGCAGACCAGGGTCAAGGCCTTTGTTTGGGAGAAAGCACAGTGAAGCCCATACTCCTGAAAGTCCCCCAACAACAGCGGACGAGCCAGTGTTCTACCCCGAGCCACGATCCTCACATTCAGAAGCAGGACCCCAGAAGAGTCGTAGACGACAGACTAACTACATGATACCCAGCCCTCTAGACTACTCTGTCTCGACACGACTGACCACCCCCCGCGCACCCACCACCCTCTTGGGCCTGACAGACCCCAGGAGTAGCAGTCATATCCGTATACAGCCGACGCCGGGGCCTATCTACCAAGTGCCTGACCCTCAACACATTCCAAGTGTGGTAATGATTCCAATGAACGGCAGAGACACAAGCGCTACTTACATGAAAGCATAACATGTTTAGAAAATCTTTCGAAAGAGTTAGGTGTCAAGGATAGATATATCAAAGAATATACATCGCTCTCAGGAAACACTATGATAGAGAAAACTGTTGGACTTTTGCTGAAATACATCAGAACCCATTATTCAAACGTACAAGTTTCCTCGTCAGATTTACAAAAAATCGTTTTTACTTCCAACAATTCTAACTTTAATGAATCGATTGCGTGTAACAGATGCCCTGATGATGCAGAGGATCTTATCCTGTATGCCCACGGGTTGCTGAAACTGTTCGAAGATAAGCTTGATGTTCAGCCCCCTCATTACAAAATAGAGCCCCCCACCAGACGTTATGGGAGCCGAGTCGTGAACAGTCGGCCGACGCCGGCGAAATTCCCTGTCTTCGCGGATGCCGAAGATGAGAACGAGACAAAGACGGGAGAAACTGAGTCTGTTTTTGTCACAAAATTATCCACTTTGAAATAAATATATATTGCCTACTTACTTATTCTAATTGAGACCCGTGAGGATCAGGGTAGAATGGGTCTTCAGCGACCAATGCGTGTCATAAGAGCCGACTATGCTTGTCGTAAGAGCCGACTAACGGGATTGGGTGGTTAGGCTCGCTGACTTGGTGGATGTATGTGATCGTATTCCATTTGCGTAGATCGATGCTCATGATATCAATCACTAAATTGTCTGGTCCAGACTCGATTATTATATACATACCGCTGATTGCGGCGTTAAACAACAAACTAACTTATTTGTGACATCTATGATATATTTAGATGTTTGAATGTCCCAGCCATTTTTTTACATATTCCCAACAAGACACAAATTCAGTCCCGCAGGCTTCCCATGAAACTGCATCAAGCTTCCCATCAAGCAATTGTCACAATATGTATATCATGCAATGTTTTTAAGACAATCTCTATTATAATGCCACATCTCCTAGATCACTGAACATGAGGGGTCTACGTGATGAATAAACACATTTGAAATAATAAATGTTACGGGGTATATAATCTAAACATGCATTTGGAAAGGTATATACTGGTATACATTAGGACGAAACAAAACAAACAATGCAATTTGGTCTGTTTATATTCAGGCAAGAAATGTCCATCAATATTGTATTTTGTTTCCTTGGTGAGTTGATTGATTAACTTTACGGCTTCTACTTGTGGGGCGGCAATCGATGAAACCAGACAGGAAGTCAAACACCTGTCAGTTCCTTGATCTACCTGTGTCTACCGCCTGGCCCATGTAGGTGAAACCCGCCTCATCGATCTCCCAACAGTTAGGCGGAACACCATTGTGGTAAAGAAGGAATGGATTACCTCATTGTTTATGGGGATGTTTTGTTATGCAGCGACGTGTTGTAGCGATCGACCTGGTCCTCCGTTTGTTATAACTTACAAATATAAAACTTACATATGGTACATGTATTGATTCCAGGATTAGGTAAATTATTTATCATGTATGATTTCCATTTTCTTAATAATAATCAGTAGATAATCTTTGGTATTATATAAGGAGATATTCTGGTAACAGCGAGGCTGCTATTCTGAATAATATAACAAGTGGAATTTTAACAATTTCGTTATCACAAAATAATTTTGCAAATTCCTTACTTGATTGAGCGAATATTGTTTAACGCCGCATTATGCAATAATTTCGGTTGACACCATTCCTACATTAACGTGACATTAAAGTATTTGAGAATTTGGGGTGCCGTCATGATTTGGAAGTACCACTTAATTGTCATCAAGCCAAACGTGTCTAATAATGTATACAATAATACGCTGATAAAATGCGGGTCCGATCAAAAGAATTGCATTACATTCAAACCTCAAAAAAAGACAAGTACATCTCAAAATGAACGCCGTAGGTGATCCTTATCGCAATTTTGACTTAACAAACTTTCGAATTGTAAGAACTGCTCTTTTCATCTCCATCCATCTAAACCAATCAAGATGCCAGGAAACAAAATCGTACATTTAAAATATCATATGTTAATGGCTTTGTACAACCCATTGTTATTCCGGCATTAACTAATGAAACATTAATAATTTAATGTGCCTTTAGTGATGACGTTAGACACAAACGGGTCCAGTTCATAGTGCTTGAATCATGCGAGACGACTAATATGAGCACTGGGTGGTCGCAATGTGACACCAGGCGGATGACGTGTCATCTTGGTGTACTAATACCATCAACCACTCGTTTTCCCGGACGAGTCTCCATTATTTTCAGGTGTCGATATATATTATGTTAAACGTGATATATGTGCTGCGTCATATAGCTGGAATCTTATGTCTGCGACGCCAGACAATAATCAATCACTCGCTGACTAATTATATTCTCCATCACCCAAGACGAGCGATCTCACCGTATGTAGACCTATTTGCTAACAGATCCAGTGCACCAGTTCCCAATCCATATGGTATCATATAGCTGATCGATACATTAGCTGATCGATAGCTCTCTCCTACATTATTTCCAACACAGTGCACGAACTGTCAGACTGTTACCCTAACAACGCCCACGTCTCTTGGTCGATACACTTCACCACGGGACAAACAGAATATATAATGTCCACAACACAAACAAACCCGACCGCCCATAACGTTTACTGCAATATTAGGTTCTTAAGAAAGAAGCACAAGCAATATCAATAACGGGTATGTCACGTGAACGAAAGTCTGCTCTAATAAACTCCCGTATAGGCTGACAAACAATCGAGACTTACATTAGACTAAAGCGGCAGTATTTCAACAACTGTTAAGTCATTCCACCACATTTATATCACAAAGACCCACTTAACTTGACGACCACCAATCGTCCACACTGTCAAACAAGGACTTTAAAGCACGGCAGTCAGTATATCATTGCTTGACGCGGGTCTAGCAATAAAACATGTGAATATGCCATGGGCTAGTCAACTATGTTATCTGTTGCCCCACATACCAAATTAAATATTACCATATCGACATATGATTAATAACATATATATTTTGATAATTATACGCGATAGAACTACTTTCTCAATATATGCCGTGCGGCAAACTAAATAGATTGTTTGCAATATACTAATTATTGATTGAACCTATGGCGTTTAATAAATAAGCCCAGACCTTTCTGGAGTGATGTGTTGAAATCTAACAGGCTTTGTCCTGAGGGTCACATGACAACAAAGGAGTACAGTACTAACAATCCCTAGGTGGTATTTGCTTGCCGTGATCATATAAACATACACTCGTACATGTGCTGTGGTTGTGTGTTTTTTTTGTCGATGTTATTCATGCCATTACACATGTGAAAGCATTGTTCAGCTGTATTCAAAAGAGCTCCCAGTAAACAGGCCTGACAAAATGTCGTATAAGTAGGTATGCGTATTTCTTTAACAATGTGTACGTTCAGTCTAATCTATTGTGTAGTCCAAGGTGACCATATGTATAGTGATTAATGTAGTCGGAAAGTGTTTCTGTACATGGCTATTTTATACTGTTCCTTTCAAATGACGAATAGTTGTAGTCCTCACAAGCAAATGTTCAACTGAACACGTCCCTGACAATAAGCACAGGGCTTACCAACAGCTGGTAACAGGGTGCAGAGCCTCCAACAATGCACAAGCAGCTTAGGTGGTATACTCCCCAGGGATCTTAAAGTGCAATGACAATAACACAGATCCATTTACAAGTGGCGTAACTAATGTCATGCGCTTGCAGCATGACCCCTTATTGTGGACTTTTGGACTATTGTTTTAGTGAGTGAGTTTTGTTTTACGCCATTTTCCAGCAATATCACGGCGGGAGACACCTGAAATGGGCTTCACACATTGAACCCATGATGGGAATCGAACCCGGATCTTCGGCTTGACGAGCGAACACTTTAACCACTTGGCTACCCCACCGCCCCTCAGTGAGGATATGTCTTTTGTACAGGAATAATGTTTTGTTTGAGTTAATGTTTTAGGGCTGTTATTTAATAACATGTACTTTGTTAGAATAGGTCCTAAAATGAAAATGTCTTTGCACCATAATCTCTCAAAAACATTTATAGTCCGAAGACATAAACCATGGAAATTATATTTGTTATACAGTAAATAGAAATTAAATTTACTTAATGAAAAATAAAGAAAGTTATATTCCACATTTGTGAAATTTGGGGCCGGCGATTTCGTAAACCAAACAAATAAAAACAAATCTTAAAATTTTCAAATCACCCCGTTTAATTAATTAAATATTTCCAAACAATAGTTATTTCAGCAATAAACGACCAGTGGTCGTTTATGGTACACGAAAACACTGCAGGGAGAATAAACCACGAGAGCGCATTTATTTCTTATATGCGATATCAATATTAAGTTACTAAAATGTACAAGCTTTATAAATATTTACACGTATTTAAATAATGATGACTACCTGAATAGAACCCGACTTCGGCAATGTCGGACAAGTCCATTTTATGAACAGGGGGTTAAAATGTGTTTTTTCCTGAATATTCTCACAATTTTCACGTCGATTATCTGCATCTTTTCCCCCAATACCGATTGTCATATCTTTCCCTCTCTGGGATGCGATCGTTCGGCCATGGCGTTTTTTGGCCCAGCTACATCTATGGGGGAACAACTCACTTGGCACTTCCCTCTCAAAAATAGCGTCGTCCAATTTACGTCATCAAGTTGCGAGCGCATGTACGAATCTCCCCATGATATATTCTCCTTTCAGTGTTTTTTTTGTACGATATACAATGACCACGAGTCGTTTGTTTCTTAAATAAACTCGGCTTCGTTCGCAATAGTTCGTTGTGATTTATCGCTTTGCTATCTTATATACAGGAATAACGTCGTCTTTATCCCGTGACGTTGCGATGTTAGCCATGCATCAACCAACATCACACACTCATTAAAACAATCTCGTTAGCAACGATGAACAAACGCAAAAACAACACATGCTTACCGATGGATCGATCTGTTGTGCTGAACAGTCGCCAACCTTTCACTTTCTCGCAACTATCCTAACTCGGGTTTTATCAGCATGAGTGAAATAAAAAAATCTAGGAAATTCAGAGTGGTGATGAACCGAACATTTCATTAATAATGTATCTAAAGAAGCTGCTTTCACACAAATGCATTTACGGGGTGTATATGTGATTAATCCAGTTGACGTGGAGTATTGATTCAACTGAAAGTCGTTTTCATACACAAATAAAATACAAACACACACACACACACACACACACACACACACACACACACACACACACACACACACACACACACACAAACACACACAAACACAAACCTATGATGAGAACGACAATTCAACTTTAATTAATTGCTATCAACAACGGTATTTTGCAAATGTAAGTCTCAGGAAGATCCATGGCTAAACCCGCTTACCCTGACTATCCATCTGTTTGGGTTCTTTTTTGTTTTGTTACAGTTTGTTGTTGATGGTTATTGTTTACGCGCTGCAGATATTGATGACAACGCTACCCAACAGCAAATCGATTTTACTTGAATTTTGTGACACTGACATATAGTTCATAGGAGACACCAACTTGATGGAACAAGTGGGTTGATGGACTAAGGTGTTTGGGAAACTAAAAATAAATCACTTTGCTGGATGAAATTAACTGGGATAAAGGATTTCATACTAGTTTTTAGATGTGACCATGTTTGTATTTATTCAGTCAATAGTCTTAATGGGAGGAAACACTACAAACTGTGAATATTGTATACCTTCAATTTGAAAACAGAGTATTGAACAAGCTAAATATGGTCTTAATCTTTTTTTAAATGGATAATGATTTCAAATTAATTGCATTACCTTTGGTCTAATCCTAGGAGCTGCAGTTATGTATCTCAACATCACACACATCACCATTAGCTACAGTGGTTTTGTTTTGTAATGATATATTTGTTCAAAATCCTGCCAAAAGGTTCCGTATTAAAACCAGCAGGCAACCAGCTACATTGTCCAAGAACCCGTTTTAATGCCATTGAAGCGTATCACTTTATAGCGGTTAACGGGCACCTGCTGGTGTTGCGAAATTAGAGTTATTCGCCTTGTTTCTAAGGCCCAGTCGACAACTAATTCAACCAATGAAGATACCAGAAATCGGTCACATGTGTTAGTCTCTGGGTATCCATGTTTATGGAGCAACTGTAGGCCCGCAAGCTGACAGTGGTTTAGGGGCGATATCTAGGGGTTATCACGCTAAAAGGGTACACTGCTTGATTGACACAGGTGAGTCCAGGTGTTGTCTTTAGAACACTCAGCTATTGTCCAAAAGCAGGTAAGTTCATATCTGGTTTCAAAAATCGCGATATTGAAACAGTTAAGGAAATATTTTATTTCAAAATGTCATAGCTGCGTGGCTGTGAATAATAAACTCCACAATCACGGCTTGGTCGACTCGCAAGATTACACAGAATGACATATCTCTGTTAGTGCGCTAATAACGTTTTGTTTAATGCTACTATACACGTAACACGACCTTTTTCCATACCTTTCATATTCAGCTTGTGAAATTGATAGGATATATATATCAATATTAACCATACAAAAAACAAAGTTCCCAAACCTTATCTCCAAGGCTACATCATATTGAAGCAATTTTTCAACTAACATAAATTTTAGGTAACTTCAAAGCCGAGCTTAGACAAAATATGGTCACACAAAAATTTCAAATCATTTACTATTTTTCCTCTATAGATGAAACAGGGACTACGCAAAAATGACAAAAATATATCAAATTAAATTATTTTTTTGAAAATATAATAACTAAAATCATCTGTGCTCTTCAGTTAAACAGAATGTGATAGCAGACTTGTATGGGCAAAAGGCATGTTCTACATATATGTAGATATTACTGATTAAGAATGGATAAAGAGACGTCATCACACACAGCAGAGTGCCAGGACAGGTTGCCCAGGTGCTAGTCAGTAAACACTACAGCAGTGGGCCGCGGTCATGCTGACGGATGTTATCTTTATACCTGCTTGATACTTTGCCTACAGTGGTATTTCAAGGGTGAAATCTTGCAATAAATTACAAGCTATGATATTCGTAATTCATTTGTGTACTTTGACATCAGTCATTTCTCCAGGAAAGGTTTTCACTTCCACTCCTAGACATGTTATGTGACCTGGGAACATGATATGCTAGGCCAGTGTGTACAGGAAAGCTTCACTAGGAATTTGTATTATGCTTATTGTTAACCTATTTAAGTAATCTTATATTTTGTCTGAGTGTTTCTGTTTTATTTAGGGTTTTGTTTGTTTTGTTTCACCATATTATTTCATGATTCAGACTTGTTCAAATTCTTGGACATTGACAGATCATGATTCAAATGTTTGATTCTTTTCAATATTTGTAATGATATTGAAGAAAGTTTAATCCAAAACAAAATCATTAAAATATCCTTTTGTAAATTATCTCCAGCTATATCACTATATTTTGGGAAATTGGTTGTGATGAACATATCTATAATTAGAGATTGTTTATTTTCTCTTTTCTTGTGAATGTTTTTATATAATTATGATTGAATTTTGTTGTAACATGAGTTGTTTTTTTAAAGATTAAGAACAAATTGCTGATAGTCAGGAAACAAGGTCGATGGTGATATTATGACAAATGTCAGTTTCCTACAAAATGGTTAAATGTGACACCTTTATCAAGGATCAGATTGTTTTAATAATGGAATAATAGTTTCTTCTAAGTTCCTCTAACTTTGAGCTTCACAGAAGCTCCTAAAATACTTTGGATATGTATTGTCCTCAACAGAGTCAATTAGTCCGACCCATATATCAACTACATTACATCCCTGGCAAGAATTAAGTCATTTGTACCTAATTACATGCTTAACCTGTAGGTAACATAGATATCTGAAAATCAGGTTCAGGGAAGACAGTTGCGAGTGTGAGACACTTTAGGAATGTCATCGAAGAAATATGCCGTTATTTTACACACTCATCCTTGCAGATATTTTATCAAATGGAATTAATGAACTGTTTCTTATGTTCCAGTGACCAAGATGCCGTGTGTTTCACAGAGTACATGGAAGGAGACCCGCCCGCGGGGGCCAATTGCTCCCATGTTCGGAAGTCCCGGACCCCAGTATGCGCTGCCAGGATTGATTGGCGTCAATGACCACGATCCAAGGAGTCCCCATAAGAAGAACCCTGCCTACTCTTTCGGTGTGAGGCATGGCAAGTTCCGGGATGACTGTGGCCCTGGCCCGGCTTATCTGCCTGAAGCTAAACTTTACCGAGACGGCAGAGATGGGGCTCCCCACTATTCACTATACAGTCGCCCCCGGGATCTCAGTACCCACAAAACTCCTGGCCCAGGGGCTTACAGGCCTGAAAATGCAGGTCTTACCTCGGCATGTGTTGGGGCACCCAAATATTCATTTGGAAACAGACATTTAAACAGGAAGTCAGATCATACCCCAGGTATGCTATAGTATTGACAGGGCAACTGTAGACGGTTATTAGTCTGTTAGCTAATGTGGAGAGTTAACCTGCTTGTTCAGCATAATATCTCTTGACAATACCTGAAGCATTCAGTCGTTGCGATTGCAGAAATACATATAGTCAGTGATATTTTGTACTGTAAAAAAAATATAAAACACCTCAATCTAAAGCTTCAAATTACCATGTTAAATGTATATAAATCCAGTTTTGTTACAAATGACATTAACTGAACGGTTTTGATTTAAAAGAATAAATGTACAATGCCAAATCAATGTCAGTATTACCTACCCCAGTGTCATGGGCACAGAAAGGTCCGTGGAGCCTACTGGATTGAAGAATCTAACAACTGACTAGATATCATTAATCCAACCTTTTGACATTTGAATGTAGATGCTGTGTGGCTCATATTCATGACATGTTTGTTGCATTGTTCCATGTTCACTTCAGCCCCAAATGCCTACCGACTGCCTGACCAGCTGGGCAGAACAATCGAGGGGGGTAAGAAGCAAGCACCAGTATATTCCCTCAGGGGACGCCAAAAGATCGGAAGCTTCCACGAAGACCTGCAAAAGGTAGACCATTATGCCTATACATACAACATACACATGGTAGCCGAGTGTTTTTGAAGTGTTCACCTGTCGCACCATTTACCTGGGTTTGATTAATCATAAGACTCTCGAGTGAAGCTCATTCTTTGTGTAAACAACTCATATACCCTTGTCACAAATTCGGTTTTGAAAAACACCCTTATTTCAGAGGGAGGGATTGAGGGAATTACGAAATAATATAGTGATATAGACGGCGATACTGTATTCTTGTGTGGAATCTAACACTTGACCATTATGCTACATATATTTCAAAGTTTCTGTTCTTAGTGTTCACAAGGGTGGTAGGGTAGCCTAGTGGTTAAAGCGTTCGCTCGTCACGCCGAAGACCCGGGTTCGATTCCCGACATGGGTACAATGTGTGAAGCCCATTTCTGGTGTCCCCCACCGTGATATTGCTGGAATATTGCTAAAAGCGGCGTAAAACCATACTCACTCACTCACTCACTCACTCACTCACTCACTCACTCACTAGTGTTCACAAGTTAAGCATGACAGTCAAGGGGTCCTTGTATAAACATTAATGTTAAAAGTTAAGGTTTAGTGGTTTCCCAGGTTCAAATACTGAAGGAGCCCGTAGGACTCCAGGACCTCTGACACTAACTTTATAGAGTCTACAAGCTCAAGCCTGTCTTTTGTATCATTTTCATTAGATGCTAGTTTGAATTATTGGCTTTTAGATTAGCTGAACTTTAAAGACTGAAATTTTAGCTAGATTCTGATTGACCTTAAAGTTTCCATGTTAGAGGTATCTGGTACACATGAATATAATGTAATACAGTTTTATGAATCTGTATGCTCGCTTTACAATACTGAGTTAAAGCTGTGGTTAAAGCATTCACTCGTCACACCAAAGACCAAGGTTCGATTCCCCACATGGGTACAATGTGTTAAGCCCATTTCTGGTGTCCCCCCCACCCCACCCTGGTATTGCTGGAATATTGATAATTGGCATAAAACCAAACTCACTCACTCACTCACTCACTCACTCACTCACTCACTCACTCACTCACTCACTCACTCACTCACTCAACTCACTCACTCACTCACTCACTCACTCACTCACTCACTCACTCACTCAACTCAATCACTCAACTCACTCACTCACTCACTCACTCACTCACTCACTCACTCACTCACTCACTCACTCACTCACTTTACTGCATTTACTGCACCAATGTATTGTAACTGAAAACTGCAAAAAAACTGTGATGACATTTTGTTTTCTTTTACTCTAGACCCCTGGTCCCGGTAATTACAACGTGACCGACCCTAACAGATACAAGAGAGCCGCCCCAGGTTACAGCATGACTTCTCGGTCTCAGTTGCCAGGCGACACCACCGTCAAACCCGGACCTGGCTCCCACAGCCCTGAACAAGTAAGTACTTTAGTCTGAGATACCAGAGGAATCCCCTATCTCCCATTTCAAAATGCTCTCAAAGCTGGTAACAAATACGGTTTGTAAATGTGGAAGTAAGTCCAATTGATTTCAAAATATTTAAATAAACTTAGACACATTCAGATAACTTACACTTAATACTGAGTCTTCAACAGCCAGTGTCCAAATATTTGTATTTGATATTATTCATCAAGTCAATTAAGTCATTTATCGGTGGAAATAGTTTAGAAAAGAAGTATTCAGCTGTATTGTGCATTGACATTAAGGATATTTATTTCACAGTAGTAGTGGACCTTTTCCTAGGTATAAGGTACATTTTAGCTGGTCTTATAACATAGCCATAGCCTTATAACAATGAAAATTAGGTATGGGTGAATTTTCTGTAATATTCTAGATTTTACAAAATATCTAAAATGACAAATTGATGAAGGTCAGAAATGAATGAAATTCTATCAATAGCTCATGCAAGAACGGCCTTTCTTCTTGCAGGTTTACATAAACAAACGCTCAGCGCCATGTGTTAGTTTTGGAATGCGTCATTCCCAATACACAGCGCCACTGATAGTGGACGTCCGAGACTAAACAACTCTGGATGTATGTCATCTATTTCAACACGTAAAGTCTACTACACATGATAATCCTGCACAGTCACACAGTCTTTCATCACTAGCCTCATGGTTACTGTATGCGTTCTTCACGTTGATGACCATGGCTGCGGTCCACACAGCGATCCTAGTGCTACGACTGTTTAAGTAAAAGAGTTACGATCGTCTTAGCACTACAATTGTTTTGTGGAACTGGGCCAGGGTGTGAGAACCCATATGGCTACCATCCCTATTCTTGGTGCCCCCCACTCACTCACAGAGCAGTTTTAGAAGCCCTTGCTGTCACTGTTGTAATGTGCCTGTCTGTACCAAACAGTTTTCATTCTTCCAAGATGAGCAAGAACCTTTGTTTTACATATACCAGAACTAAGATCTATACATACACCAAACCGACTGCAGGAAAAGGTTGTTCAAGAGCATTATTTATTTATTTATTTATTCATTCATTCATTCATTCATTCATTCATTTATTTATTTATTTATTTACAAAATCAGCTTGTCTGTCCACCTTAAGTCATTTAATGGTCTGGATGAAAAGACAAAATTAAAACTTGCTACCTATCTACCATTCCCTTTATGCCTGGTCACATAAAGAGATCTTGTAATGATGCCTTATTGATACTAGAACACAATCACCACCAGAACATAAGCTCTGTATGAAACGGAAACATAAAAAATTTAAGCTCCATTGATGGTAGTCACAGGGGCGGCGGGGTAGCCAGCCATTTGGTAGAACTATACTCCCTCACTCATAATGGTCACATGGTGTAATTGCACTTACCTATGAGACGTGAGGACTGAGAACTGTTGTTGCATGATTTGACTCCACCAAAGACATCAAGATTCTAAGTCTACTTAAGGATGAAAATGAACCTGATTTTATTTTCACACTGATTTTAATAGAGGAGTTTTTGTCTTGAAATTCATATAAATTAGAGCATGGTGCACCCTTATGTCTTGAACACCTAATCTGATTTAGTCTTGGCCTGGTTAATGCTTGCACACCGTGCACCTGACTGGAGTGTACATTCTGCACCTGGTATGTTCACCACACCTGATGTTGTAAGATGTATATGATCATAGGAGCACATGAACTCTTGTCAAGCACATGAACTCTTGTCAAGCACATGAACTCTTGTCAAGCTCATGAACTCTAGTCAAGCACATGAACTCTAGTCAAGCACATGAACTCTAGTCAAGCACATGAACTCTAGTCAAGCACATGAACTCTTGTCAAGCACATGAACTCTTGTCAAGCTCATGAACTCTAGTCAAGCACATGAACTCTAGTCAAGCACATGAACTCTAGTCAAGCACATGAACTCTAGTCAAGCTCATGAACTCTAGTCAAGCACACATGAACATTGTGAACATTAATTAAAAGTATTTTGTCATTGTTTAACAGTAATAGCGTTACTACAAACCATTCATAATGGAGGAATTATGCTGATTTTAATCTGACACACATATCTGTAGGCTATGACAGTTGAACTATAATCTTAGATGTTCTTTAACATCTTTTGAGTAATACATGATATGCCAATATCATACTTAGGTGGGTAGCTTAGTGGTTAAAGCGTTCGCTCATCATGCCAAAGTCCCAGGTTATTGGTGCAATATGTGAAGCCCATTTCTGGTGTCCTCCTCTGTGATAGTGATGGAATATTGCTAAAAGCGGCGTAAAACAAAACTCACTAACTCACTCATTATACCAAGACATGGGTCAGCCCTGATTATCTTAAATAAATTTATGTTGACACGACATGCAGCTACAAACATGATTTGTTGTGTAGTCAGTGGATGTTTACTATCTCACATCTTTCAAATATCATTGTTTTCATTTCTCAGGTTTACTCAAATAAGAAAGAAGCTCCATGCTATTCATTTGGAATCCGACACAGCCAGTACACGGCACCCTTGATTGTGGAGGTCCAGGATTAGTGCTGCCGCCGACGTCCAGCTGTGTGTGCAGCCAGCCTGCCGGCCGGCCAAAGAGTCAGATATTAACCAATAGTATTATCACAAAAGAACTGCTGAATATATTTGTCTGTCAGACAATACGAGAAACTGATGCATTATGCTGAAGTACTTTGACTGTCATCAAAGAAACTCAATCATTCATTTGACAAAGCTTTAAGAATGAGATGCAATCCTACTTATTAACAGACAGATTGATATTTATAATTGTTATGACTAACTTGAATGGTATATCAGTATGAATCTTTTTGTTGAAAAAGAAAAGCAGTAAAATCTTTCTACCAAATGGGAAATATGGCTGAAGGTCAAACTGTTGAAGCTAGACATGTTAAGTAAAATAAGAGATCTAAATAAAATATACCTACATAGGAATACCCGGTAAGGATACTGCATTTTGTTCAGTGACATTCATTAGTGAAAATTTGTTTAAAACTTCATCGCTTGTTAAAACAATTGCTACGCAAATACTTATTGTTTCAGGTAATATTTTAGACTGTTTATCTTTTGTCAAAGTACTTTCTTGAATCTGTGTAAACCATGTTTAAGATTTTGATAAAATTTATACGCGATGTATCATAATTTGATTATTATATATAGATAAATATGAAAGGTTAACATTGGATTCATATTCATTCTGTTTTCGCGTCGTTTCGTCTTGAATGATTTTCTGTTTTGTTTGACTACATCATAGCTGACTTGTTACAATGGGATAAATGATCCTATAGAGACATTGTTTGCTTTATTTCAGATATTGTTTGTACAAATATTAAAAAAAGCAATTTTGCAAGGTATTTAAATTTCTTTGTATATTTTGATACAGAAAAATATGCCACTTAATTAATTCGGAAAACTACCCACAATCAAAAACTGTTCCACAAATTTGAACGGATTTGTATAAAATTACCTCATGTATAAAGTAGATGATGGTGTTGTGGCTGGTTGTCCCTCAGTGATCGTGCCTTGCAACTGGATAGGAAGCTAGTCTAGCAGGACATATCTGTAGAGAATGAGCAGTGAAGTCTATATGTTGTGAGCTCTCAATTCTGCAACCAAATAACAACTGCTCATCTGATGTGGTATTTATTTATGCGTGTTACCACTCCAGCATTTTACCCGACACAAGCAGTATTCACTTTCACTTCAGTATTCAATTTTTGACATTTATTGTTAATTGTATTCAATGTTTTACACAATATGGAAATCTTTGTGGAGAAACTATGTATGTTATTAAACACCCTAATATCAGCTATAACCAAATATACTACTGAGATGTAGGAATTTCATATTGATCCTTCGTATTGTGAAAGTCAGATTTCCTTGGAGGAAGTGTCCCGTGAAAATTAAGGTTAATAAATAAGTGTAATTGTATATCAAGTTTTTGAAATATATAATATTTGGCATTGACGCTCTACAATGTTATATAACTGGTTTCATTGAGATCTTTTACACCCTTTTGTCACCATATCGGGATATTGTTGCATTGAAATAAATAAAATTCATTAAAAGATGAAAGTGATTAAATTGGAAGATGTGAATCTGAATGCAGGTTTAACATGAAAATGGATGTTGAAAGTATGTGATTATAAACACATATGTTCATATCCAGATTGTTATATACTGTAGTGAGAATATGTGTTGTTTTTTCTGTTTGTGGTGTTTGATCTATCTGTTGGCAAATTTTTGCATGTTAGCTAAATCTGTGATAACCCGTGTGCACAAGTTAACCACATTGCTCTACGTTCTATGGATGGTTTTGTAGCTTCGTCGTATTGCTGCTGTAAATTTTTGCTCATTTTATGCTTTATGCTCTTGTACAAATTTTACTTATATATAATAACTACAATCATGCTCAATTCTTAACCTAACAAATAAAATGTTCTGTCTTAAGAAATTGTTTTTTGTTTTGTATCATGTTATGAATGTCTTCTCAACTTATCAGCATCATCAACATCATCAGCTTCATTCAAAACATCAACATCATCAAGAACATCTGTAATGTTTGGGATTATATGTTTTGGGTAAAGTACAAATTCTAGTACTTTTTTGGGTGCGGTCCCATCTGGGATTCTAACTCACTATCTCACCCTAAGGCACCTTATCTCCAGCATCGAGGCTTCCACAAAAATGGAAGTCTGAAAACTCATAATAGTTTAGATCATACTTTGTGTACCTGTACTACTCTGATGAGTGTAATTTGGCATGGCTCCCATAGTCAAAACATCCTCACCAAAAAGTACTAGAATTAGTGTTTTACAAAAGAAAGCGTAACCCCAAATATAACATTGCATTTGACCACTTTCTAAAAGGCATTGTCTATTATAAATGTGTGTGGTCTTAACTTAAATACATGTATCCTCATGAACACCACTGACATAGTTATCATCATCATGTTAATAATCATGATACTGGTAATTGCGGATTTGCTGCATAAGAGTTAGATAAGTCTCGGAGGTGATGTATATAAAGCTGAAAATACAATTATTTATGAACTACATATACTAGTACATTTCTTAATGGTGCAGGGGGGCATGTGCGGCCCAGTCGTCTAAGGCTCTGCAATTCGCTGTGCAAAGTTGTGTCCCTCGGGCGTGCCAGAAACCTATGATTGTGGGTTTGAATCCTGGTTCGACCCGATTATGTTTCTAGGTTTGTCAGCACCATACTCGTGGGTTTCACCGAAGTGGTAAATGTCTGAGACCTGCATCACTTGGGGCTTTCCTCCCACATTAAGCTGACATGCCGTGATATGACTGGAAAGCTGTTAAAAGCGGTGTTAAACCCAACTCACTCACTCACTTAATGGTGCAGCATACATTTTTGCTGCTCTGTCTTATAACCCTATCTGGTATAAGAAGGTTCCACTGTACAGAGTAGAGGTGGGTTTATTGAGGTACCTGTTATAAAGGGGGATATCATCGATAAGTGAACAATAAAAAGATGAAAAATGAAGGCCTCTCTCTAAGGCTCTGCACAACATTGTAATACATTCACAACCAGTGAGTCTCAACCTGTCATGACAAGTTCTTAAAGCAAAGACCTTATGAATTTTTATAATTATTTATCTATGCAAATGTAAGATGCATTTGGTGTTCTAAACAAACATATTAATACTATATAATACATAATATATAGCTATCTAGACTAACACTTAGTCAATGAAAACATGTCTCTAAAAAAATTAAAATATTTTTTCGAAAGAACCTTTCCTCTTCTGCTGTTTTCATAGACTGTGGAATCAAGCAAACTAGACTTGGTTAGTTTGATTTAGACTTGCCTAGGTTTTTAGTAAAAAACACCTAAAAAAATCTAAATTCCACAGTCATGGTTCAGGACTTTTAGCTATCATGTGTCGGTTCTCTCAGATGTGATAATGGAGGTTTGTATTGAAGGGCAGTGTTCTCATGGTGATTATATGAACGCTTCACACTGCACTGTCAAGATATTTGTGTTTTCTCAACCGATAAGAGAAATGAAATGTATCACTACAAAAATGAACTGGAAAAATAAAGTGAAAATATGTTTGTTTTACGTGAGTTACTCCCACTTTAACTCCGTGACACTGATTAATACGTTTAAGATTAATCGTTTGTAAGTGTGTAAGTTTATTTCTGTATATTTATGTTTGTTCTTTCATTAATTAATTCACTCAAACTACTTACGAATAATTAAGGAGATGTGTGCCGGAGCAAACATATATCTGATGAAAAACAACAATTTGCCATTAAGCAGTCTAGTTGGTCTTTTTTCCTAGTGTAATTATATTTTATATATATTTTAACCACAAATGGATAAAAAAAATATGTTCATCTATAAGTTACATGTCTTAATTCATATACTTTGGCGTACCAATTTAATCGCAATAATTAGTTCATCAAGTTGCTGGTTGAGTATTTTTGACTCAAGTGAACTTTAAGTCAGAAGATGAGGAGAGTTGGTCGCCCACACAATTATAATAAGATTTGCTCTTTGAGGGTATCGTCAAGTTTATAACATTCAATATGAATCGAAATGTTCTAGCATTGTGACGTCACAGCGTTGTCATCGGTCACTGTATTAGTCGTATCAATTACAAATGACGTATTTCACCATAGCTCATTCTTTGGTGAATATGACTACAATAGATACAAATGCTGCATTATTTTCGTTTTAAGTTTAGTTCGAACCACAAGAGAAAGAAGCGCACATAGAATCCCTGAACACCTGTTGATAATCGCGTTGACGTGTTCAAGACACATCAACTCATATATACTTGTATGTACATGAGCACATGAATTTGCGACGCGCTCTGTTAATGATCGTTAATCAGTGCAGAAGACCACTTGTATATAAAGAGGACATTTCTTCTTCTTTTATTCTGTCAAATAACATGTTGATCAGAAGGACTGACCAGGCAAAAGTTTGACGAGCGAAAATGTAATTCTTCAGGTCATAATATACATGTGTTATTGGACAAGACAAATCTTTTATATAATGATTTATTTTATTTTCCTATCTTTAGTGATCTTACTGAATCATTATGTCGTTGAAGCAGACTGTAAAGTTGTTCCTGTATGTAAGATAAATCGCAAAGAACAATGAAGACATTTGGAGAAAAGGTAAAGTAATCGACGTGAGGATTGTGAGAATAACACACACACACACACACACACACACACACACACACACACACACACACACACATACACACATCTCACCCCCTCTCCCCTCTGCATATCATGGACTCATCCGACATTACCGAGGTCGGATTCTACTGAGGGAGTCATCATAATATAAATACGGGTAAATATTTTTTAAATCTTGTACTTTATATCATCATTCTTAAAGAGCTCATATAAGATTGTTGTTTGTTTGTTTGTTGTTTAACGCCGCACTCAGCAATATTCCAGCTATATGACGGCGGTCTGTAAAATAATCGAGTCTGGACCAGACAATCCAGTGATTGACATCATGAGCATCGATCCACGCAATTGGGATTGATGACATGTATCAACCAAGTCAGCGAGCCTGACCACCCGACCCCGTTAGTCGCTTTTTACGACAAGCATAGTCGCCTTTTTATGGCAAGTATGGGTTGCTGAAGACCTATTCTAGCCGGGAATCTTCACGGGTCGCTCAAATAAGAAATAAGTTTTATTGTACGATAAACAACGACCACGAGTTGCTCATATAAGAAATAAACAACTCGTGGTCGTTGTTTATCGTACAATAAAACACTGCAGGGAGAATAAACGGTATTTCAGTGGGCCAGCACTATTAAATCGGCATTAACGTAGTACGAACTAGTACAAGCAGCCACACACACGTGCATGCTCAGCGGTCGTTATTTACTACATAATATGTGTTAAGTGATCTGGAAGCGTAGCGAGCGTGAAGTCATTATTTGGTATGCATTAGGTCAATTCTTTTATATGTAATGTATGATATGTCGGATGTTATTACCAATAACTTCATAAAATAAACACTTCAACTTTTGCGAATACAAACAAAGGGAACGGTTTAACCCGATACAAGGAAACCTGCCAGGATTTCCCGAGCTGATTTCCTTGTATCGAATCTAAAAAAAACATTGCTTGACTATCTCAGATTAAAACAAAGTTACGTGAACTTTAACTTTGGGTATGGGTACTAAATCGGCCCATACTTTTCCTTGAAAGGTTCCCCTCCCATAGTTAAACAAAAGCGGTCACCCTCCCATAGTATAGCATAGTATACAGAATATCACTTGAAGATTAGTTTGAGGCATTAACTTGATCGAACTTTGTTTTAAGTAGGAGAAAGTCCTCAATCTCGCAATTATTTTCGCATGTGACGCTTGTTCGATGCCGAAATGCCGAGAACAAGTTTCACTTGCGAAAATAATCGCGAGATTTCGGACATTCTCCTATACTTACATCGATTGGTGGTCATTAGTGACGTGATGGCATTTACGTTTTATTGTCATCAAAAACATAAATTGACCACTGTGACACTGAAAAACACACCTCAAGGAGTTTTGGGAAATACTAAATATTGCTTGTACATATGATTACCTGTTGCAATATTCTAGTCTCGAAGTGACAAATGCATAGACTGAGCAATTGACAGGGTCTTTGTCGACATATCTAATGATTGATATTCCTTATACGGTGTGCATTTTGCAGATGTTATTCACATGATTTTCTCAAACTCAATGAATTCCTAGATTTCTTGCGTTCAGCGCTGGAGGAACCTCGTTTTGAGCCAGCAACTGTTTTACTATTGAAGTGAGGGTTGGCAGGAGAACCCATTGCCACTGTTTCAGTAATCATGTTAGACAAGGGTCGAGACTGCAAGATTTTGTGTAAATTCTATTTTATTAGGGACATGTCATGTTATAAAAGCAATACCGAGACCTTTTTCTCTCTCGAACCACCACCCCCCCCCCCCCAAATAATGTAAAATCTAATTCCATTGAGAAAAGACTTTGAACATAACATCTGTGATATTTTTGTGAATATATCACTCAACACGTAAATATTTCACCTAACTTGGTGGCGGAGCTTTAGCATCGTCGGTATATATAGAGGCGTTGGAAATTCAAAACACACAAGTTCGATTCACATAAACGTTTGCAGAAGCTCGTGGTTTCCGTCTATATAATATGCCCGTATAGGTTCTTTTATCCAACGTATGATGTGGTTATGTGAATATATTAACCTCCACTAACAATCGAGACAATCACCCCGTATGCTGTATGTATAACTTACTTGTTAGTATGTCGAACATATGTCTTACTAAATAAAACAAACATTGTCAACACATAATCCCAGTACAATAAGGAAGTGATGCTTTGTTTGCTATTTAAACTTAAAATATATGCATTACAACAAATACCTTTTAAGCATTTAAGTTTTGTTTTATAGGGATACCGTTACTTACATAATGATTGGTCTGTTGCATTTAATGTAATATTAATACACTAATGACATATGGAATGGTGTGAGAGTTCCGGAAGTAAGAAGGAATTTAAGGGCATAGGTTTTCATACTAGCACTGTATATTCAAAATTATGAAGACATTTTCCTTCATGTAGGGAATAGTTTATGTCTTTCGGATAAACGGGGTCAAGGGTATTAATAATTGAGTTTTCACTGTATGCCGTTTGAACCTATTCTTTGTTACATTGTTAACGCAAGTGTGTCATAGGGGCCATGCACGTATATAATAGTTGGCAAGTCTACATTACTGCAGTTGCAGGAAAATAAAGAGTATCTGGGCTCCTTTTTATTATAGTTTATTATGATAATTTAATTACTGCTTTTTCTGTTAAAAAATCATTTCAGAGAATAGATGTTCGTCGTCTACGCTGTCGTTGTCAATGTTTACCACCGCATGTCATCTGCGAGGAACTCACGGATTTGTCATGAATATCATCTATACTAGCCTCGGATACACGGATATTAAGCACCTATGAAAATGTGTTATACTTTTTATATGGTCGTTTTCTCAATTAAAATTGTGTCTGTTGGATTTTAACTCTATTTGATTAGCTGTTCTCTATCGGGTACTCGTCAAGACTAATAAAGGAGTGATGGAGTTTTGGCGAGATATCTGTTCAGGTAGCTATCGTTGCAGTGCTATGTATAAAGTTTGACAATCAACAGACAGACATTCTAAAGAGTGAGTGAATGAGTTGGGTTTAACGCCGGTTTTAACAGTATTCCAGTTATAATTATATCACGGCGTGTCAGCTTATTTTGAGAGGACAACCTGAAGTGATGCAGGTCTCACTTTGGTGAAACCCACAAGCATGGGTATGGTGCTAAATGAGTGAGTGAGTATGGTTTTACGCCGCCACTAGCAATATTCCAGTAATATCACGGCGGGGGACACCACAAATGGGCTTCACACATTGTACTCATGTCGGGAATCGAACCCGGATCTTCGGCGTGACGAGCGAACGCGGTAACCACTAGGCTACCCGACCGCCCCTGGTGCTGAAAGAGGTTGTATTGCATTCAGGTACAGTTAACAATGCATACATAGTATGATACACATAAGACCAACAGTTCAAAATTGACCACCTCGGAGAATGAGTAAATATGTGTTCCTGAAATTATTAAACAAAAATAGTCACTGATTACACGATGTTGCACTTATAATGACAACGAGCACATATCGTTTCTTACTTAAACGTCCACATCAAAATACACTTAAATAAATAAAAATGCATCCGCGTTGTTGACTTGTTCTCTTACCTGAAAAATCCATTGTGAAAAATCTATATGTATATTCAAGTTCTCCCAAATATCAACCCCGTCCAACCGCTGTCACCATTCCTCCACTGTTTTCCGTCCCATCACAAGCGTGCTCTGCCAGTGTTTTACCGTTGTCTACAAGCAAACCAGATTAGGCTCATTGGCCATAGTTTTAATCCAATATCTGTTCGTCAACCGACTCAGAGCAATAGACTGACAAATAATCACTATACTATGTGGATTATACCCGCTGGAACCACTGCCTCTTACGTTACCAAAATCCCGTCTTCTAATCGCCCGATCTCACGAATCTTTCCTATTGGGGGCAAAGGACGACCTGTGGCTTTGATGCAAGTTGATATTAATTACAAAGGGCTGAATGCACTGTTTGGGTTTAGGCACGATAAGCCTTTATGTCTCATGATAAATTGTAGTAAAAAATATATTTTGTTTCATGTATATGAAATGGTTACATGTTTCTATCGTGTCCATAGTTACAAGAATATCGATTCATATCATTGTAAATCCCCTTTCTCATATGTACAGCAAACAAGCCGTGTCCAATCGGGGGATAATCCCCTCACCGGGGTATGTGAAGCCAGCGTTCGGAGTAAATGCTTTAAGAAGTCTATTGTTATATCGTCACTGCTCTGATAGTGATCCCTTAAATCACGACAATAGACAGTCGTAGACACCTGCAACATTAATAATGGACTATCGGAATAAATAATGTCAATATACATTCACGACGATCATATATTCCACCAAATATATATATACAGCGTTTATAAGGAAATTTAAGGAATCTAAGGAATTTAATTTTGTCTATTAATCTTCTGAAGAAACGTAATGTTAATTGAAGTCGAGCGCATGTATATGAGCAACACACAGTTACCATAGCAACCAGAATGGTTGAATTAATTATTTTGATTGCTATAGAGTTTCATAGCACAACTGGTGCTGTTTCGCTGTGTGTAATGCATGCACTTCGAAAGTCAATTTGAGATGCGATATACACATGCCATAGCAATGTGCCCCGACAGGAAACAATCAATGTGCCCAAGGGTACAGTTCTATAACTGTGGACAGATGCTCCTCAGCTACTTACTACGACATCACCTACCGAGCAAAAGTATCCTCATTCCATATTTTTTTTAAAACCTTTTCAGTAAATTGTTTATTTGCAATTTTACTGCTTGTGATAAAATACGGAAAACTTTCTGTATAAAATATATATCATTCAATACCTGTGTATGGCTATGCCAAATTTTAAACGAAGATATAAGGTAATACAGTAATAACAAACGAACGATATCGCTCTTTAAAGACGCAATTGTATCGGGCGGTGATTAAACACTATACTTCGCACGTTATCTGGAAGCCTAAATGGAGTTTGAAATGGTGTCGGCGGGGGTCTGTAGCGAAGTCAATCAGCTATAGAAATATCGGTGTAGATCAATATCTAGTTCAATAGGTACATATTAATTACACACATGCTGTATTCAAAACCCAACCTATCATTTGTTTCAATTGTTCGCTGTGTTACTTCATATTTGAAAACATAAAGGCTGTGATTCGCTACAGTTGCCATTGGCAGGACATGTGCTTTGTTGCCCTGCAAACCCTGCTTCTATCTGATTGCACGTTACAAAAGAAACCCATCGATAAATGTTGTAATTTGATAACATTAGATGTCTTTAACCTTTCCGTGTCTTTATTTTGTGAATAGACATGTCACACGGGTTTCGAACGTACCGTTTGGCCAGGTCGGGTGTTCCTATAGCAATATCGGGTATATATGTGGGTAAATGTCCCGTAATGACATTCGATAATGAAATAAATTGCTTTAAATCATTCATAAATGTTACGTTACACCGTTGTCTGGGTTTAATTGGATCAAGGATAAAACTTTTATTTATTAATGTCATTGAACCCTATAGGGTTAATGCATTGGTATGCTTTTAGTTTGTTTTCCTTCACAATAAATAAGATAACGAATAGCAAACATTCTTTGCCTATGTGCGTTAAAATACGTCTTTAAAACAAACAAACAGAAAATGAAGTTCAGGAATGTACTTTTATTGCAAATTAAACAAAGCCAAAGAAGTTATAGATCTAGTTACAAATTATTATCCGAAATCCTATTTCATCATAATTAACATTTCACAAATTAGTACTTATCCCTAAAATATTACTTTACACGCTTCTATAATATTTAAAAAAAATTCAACTTCGTCAATATTTCAAATGAATCTGAATCCCGTGCGGTGTGTTAAACAGCAATCTAATAAGCTTCGTTACAGTATACGTGATATAAACTGCTACGTAATGACCTCATAGATGGGTTTAATTATTCGTTTCGACGTGTGCCTCGTTTCGGCTTATCGATGCGTTGATAAGGACACGGCATTACGTTGCTAGGGACGTCGGTGTAAGCTTCTGTCTGAGGACCGGTAGTTTTGAAGGCGATTTGAGAATAAGGGGGTGCCTTTATACGCCAGGGCCTTGCAGGTTGTTCAGAACAAGGAAAGTTCTCGGGCCTCATTTACTTCAAAAGTATAGCGACGACCATCAGTCAAACAACCTTAGCAACTGTGGAATACACCAAATTTGGTAAGTTCTCCATTTTACAACAGTAAACGTTTGAACTGATCAAAGCAGGGTTGGTTAGTAGTTAGTGATGAACTGTTCACCATTTATCATTGAACTGTCAACGTATTTCGGCTTCTGTTGGTATAACTAATATTAAGAAGTTTATTCTTGTTAGTGTGTGAGACAGTTTGCTTGAATGGAAATAATTCATTCTTAAAATTGAAGAGATTTAGGCCTAGGCTGGTGTCTAGCGTAGAAAATCGGACTCCAAATAGGTATGCCTCATTTTTTCAATGAATAACTCTAAATGTGCAGGGAAAACTATCACATTTCTTTGCTAGGATTTATAGTGTTTCTTACATAGGTCTCCTTGTACACGTATTGTATAAATCTATCTGTAGTAATGTGCTGGCTTGGCAGTTATGACCTTCGTTCTGAATGATTAGGTTCTAGCAACCCCTCTTATCCCCCCCACCCCACACTACCCCCCACCCACCCTTTTTTTAATATCTCATGACATTTTGTATGCAAATTTGTTGATTTGGTTGTAAAATTAAAATTAATAATGGTTTACATAGTGTGTTTGTGTTCTTTTTTTTGGTGAAACCCCAACTCTCACACACACTGAAGTGGCCCAAATTTAATACCCCCTTCTTTAAAAATTCTGGATCTGCTCCTGAAATAGGTCAAACCTATATGACTACTTCCAGCAAAACATATAACCTGTTTTTTGTTTTCTCAGAAATATTTTGTTTGTTTGTTATCTATAATTTAGACTTTCTATTTCTGTTCTTTAAAGTCTAATACATTTGTATTCCCTGTTCAATTCATCTGGTTCCTACTTAGGTATTCACAATGGTGTACAACTACACGAAACCACGTGGCCCGATTGCTGCCATGTACAGCAGTCCTGGCCCATGCTATGGTCTGCCAAATCTGATTGGCCAGTCGACCCATGATCCTCGCAGTTCTCACTCCAAGTACCCAGCATACTCTTTTGGCATCCGTCACGGCAAATACAGGGATGACTGCAGCCCAGGCCCATGCTACTACCCTGACACCAAGGTAAGGATCTCATCTCCACCACACCACCATCCCACCTCGTAAGTCCCCACAGATGAAATGTATATACATTCTAGTACCCTGACATGATTAACAGTAACTGCAAACACCTCCCCCCCCCCACCAAAAATAATAAAATACCCCAAAAAAAACCATTCACCGAATTATTAATGACATTTTAAAGACAACAAAGCAACGTATGAAAGCAGATGATTACAGGTCACTCAAAGGATGTCTTGAATAACATGTGTAACTTGAGACATCTCTCCTGCAGGTGTACCGAGATGGACAGGATGGTACCCCCCACTACTCCCTATATAGTCGCCAGAAGGATAGCACATCATTCAAGACCCCTGGGCCAGGTGCTTATAGTCCCGAGCACACTGGCCCCACCGCCAAGTTCCGTCATCCAGCCTACAGTTTTGGTATGAGACAGCGAAACAGGAGAACAGACAACACTCCAGGTGAGTGTCATTGATGATGCTGATGTTGATAATGATGATTGGGTCATAAAATTAAATTAGGATTAGGATTAAAGTGATGACAAATTATGAAGATGATTACCTATCTTATATATTTTTCATTTCATCATAATATAAAGATAATAATGATAAAGATGATAATCTGGGTTTTTAGAATGTAATGTGTAACAGCTGCTGCTGCTGTGACTAACTCATTACTTTAGGCAAGATTATATTGTATCAAAGTAATATACTTGTAATATCCTCCATACAAGCTCTATCTTGTGTAGTGTGAAATTTATTACTTAAATAATTATTGATATACCATGACTTTAAGAGTGAGTGAGTAAGGTTTTACACTGAGTTTAGCAATATTCCAGCAATATCACGGCGGGAACACCAGAAATGGGCTTCACACATAGTACACATGCGGGGGATGTTAAAGAGGCATTAAAGACATTCAATAGCCTATCAACTTCAACAACATATAATTTGTCAATAATTTCTGTCACATTGTCTCGTCCAGAAAGAAATATGATATCTTGACAGTCATAATAGCACACAGATCCTGACATAGCGACATATCCCCCTCTCAATGCCGTCTAGCATGACATCCTCAGTGGGAGACATGTTCAACGCTCCACTTGAAGTTAATAACGCCATGCTTGATTCTCCAAGCTACATGATACTTGCTACAAATTGATCTATCGTTATAATAAGCAGTTTCTTTCTTCATGTGTTTGACAACAAAATCCTCTGGATAATAAAATGTATGGACAGCGGTGATATTCTGTTTCCTATTCATTGATTTTTATATTTGTTGAACTAAAAAAACATGTGCAGGATTAGTTTAACTAAATTATAGTTAAGATACACATGATAAGGCACAAAGCCATCATGTCCACAATCATTCATTGATTTGATATCGGAACACTGCATCACCTGAAGGATTTCATGGTTCAATGTCTTTTTAAGGATTTCTGTCAAGGCATGTTCAATTGTTTTTCAACTTAAGTAAGTGTATTTGATACAGGATTTATTAAAGAATAAAAGAGAAATTATTTAAATGTTTAGTTTTTCCTTAAAATTATTCATTTATTTTAGAATATCAACTTTTACCATAGCCTTAGCTGATATTAATGATAAAAAAAAATATGTATTTAATACAGTCATGGAGGAAAATACTGTCTAATAGTAATAAAGCACATTATAATGTTAAAAGTGTTTTCAATTTCATATTTTGTCATGAAGTTGAGTTTCATAGAAATAATTAGAGACATTACTGCTGTATCATGATGGCCTGCAGTGTGTTCAGGCCTGGAGCAGGCAAACCTACAGGAATGCAAGGGATTCAGATAAAGCCAAAATAATTGTCTTTAGAAGAGAGGAACCTTTAACAAACTATGAGAAATGGACATATAAAGACATGCATTTAGAAGTTGTTAACTTCTACAGGTATTTAGATATTACAGAGATTGTTTTCACCTCCAAATTACCATGGAGTAAACGAAGGTAACTTTAAAATGTTTGACAGTATGATAGTTCCACTATTGTGTTATGGTGCTGAAACCTGGGGAACTTCATATAACAAGTTAACAGAAAGTAAAAAGACTTTATTCTGCAAAGATTTCACAGACTTTTAAGAAAACTTCCAACACTTGGAGAGAGTGTCAGATTCCCTCTGCAACATTTCTACATGAGAGGAGCCATAGAACACTGTACTTGTGTATTCACCTCAGCAATAACAGACTACCATATCAGGCTTACATCAGGCTTAAATCTCCTGATGATGCTGGAAGATACACATTGACTACTTCCATAAAGAATATATTATATCGCTTAGGATGTGGTACAGTCTGGATTCAGCAGAATATGGGAGATGCTGATTTTTTTAATATGAATTTAAACAAAGACCTCAGACAATTTATATCAAGATTGGCATTCATACTTGGAAAGTTGATCAAAATGAAACTACTATTAACAATATACATCACTGTTCAATACTGAATCATATCTAACAACAAACATATATCTAACAACAAACATACATCAATATATTAAGTGGCATTTATCAAAAGATGTAAAATTTTTAGATTATATGTTGAGGTAGAAAGACAATAATATTTCGTGATGAGAGATACTGTGAATTTTGTCTGAAGAAAAAAAGAAGAAAGTGGAAAGCAATAGATATACATCCATATTACACAGACTATCCAACAACTGAAGCAATTATCCACATCATGAAATCAACTGATAGACTTTCTATATATAACACTGAAGTATATTTAGCTAAAGCTTATGCAACAGAAAACTTTATTTAAGATAACTTCCTTTGCGTACAGGATATGACCTTATAATTTTTTAATCTGAAGTTTACACGATATACAGCTTTTCAAATGGATGAGAAGTCTGTCACCTGACCGCGAAATTGTCGTTCATACGTTTTTCATGAGACCATGTTCTTGAAATGACATAAAAACTGACGGACTACTTCCACAATCCTGGGGAAACCCCTTGGAAATACCTAGCATGAATACATACAGAAGCGTTCTTTCTGATCATTTAGACCCTTTAATCTTGAACTTAGCATTTTAGTATATACATTGAGAAACATCAGAGTTTGACTGCATGATCGTTCACGAATATCCTCACTACGACCCATCCTAGTGAAAAAAATGAAGAAATGCACATCCAAACTATGGTAGTATCGCCTCGATCCGTGTCTAGGCTGGCAGTGACTGTCTACAGCCATCTATGAATTTACCTTTGTTTCTATTTGATACATCTTTAATCACTATTCAATGATCGGCCAATTGACCAATGATGACTAAAACATGTAACCGCCATGGGTTCATTAGCAACCCCTGAAATTTCTCCCGTCACGTTTATCCTGTCGGCCATTCTGACGTCTTGTACTTGATGTAAATGTATTACCACGTGCTGTCACTGTGACTGACTTACTGAGGTAGTTCTTAACAGACCTTTCTCATCTAATGGTGATATTATTTGAATACATATGTTGCATAAGATGTTTCTGAAAAGCAAGTTGTGCATCCATACGCTCATGTCACCTCTCTTTTTGAGGAACTATTTTATTCCACCTCCGACGTTCATACAGTTTGGCCCTCACTCTATGAAGGTTTATACTCCAATGAACTCACATAAAGTGAAAGTCAATTCTTAATTAGATATCTTTGTATTGTGGGACGATGGCCTTTATTACTGATTTGTCCGTGTCTGTTAGAGACATTAGTGTGCTATCCTGTTGGACTGCAGTGTGTTCAGGCCTGGAGCAGGCAAACCAGTGGTTGAAAGTGTGAGCATTTATCAGTGCTGTACTACTTTATGATGCCTCACTGTACCAGCCTGATGTACTTAGTGTCAATACACCCTACACAACAAGGAATTGCCACTAGGTAACAATTCATCCCTGAAGCTTACAGTATTAATCACTGTGGAATTTGAAAAAAAACAGGCTTAAACTATTATTTATGTTCCAGCTGCAAACAGCTACACGTTGCCCAACATGATCGGCAAGACTGTTCAGAGTGGGAAGAGACAGGCAGCTTGTCACAGTCTCTCTGGTAGACAGATTACTGGAGGCTTTGCTGAGGATCTGGCCGGGGTAAGCACACACTTCATTGAAAAGTGCACATGTTGTCTTGGAAAACTGATTTTCTTGGGACAGTTAATTCAAACCCAGACATATTGACCTTCTTGTAGTTAGCCAAGGCACATAAATTGCTCAGACAGGGGGTTCATATAACTTTGTTTGTGAGCAAGCACATAAGGATGCTATTACATAGCAATATTATTAAAATATATCATTGTCAGCTATAGGAATGAATTTCACGAATAAATTCCGTACAGGCATTGAAATATTAGAATTAAGGGAGAACCCCTCACTATGCCATCCAACTCCCCTCCCTGACAAGTGATAGGCTTATACATTTAAGAAAACTGTAAAACAGTAGTCGGTTGTTGAGGTCTGGAAATGTATTTTACATGGGCTTCACTCAATTCAGCAGAACACTTGTTGATTCCTGATCATAGGAAATGTTTTGGTGATTAAATACTGATGGTGATGTCGTTATTCAGGCGCCCGGGCCAGGCACCTACAACACCACTGACCCCAGCATGTTCAAGATAAAGGCCCCTCTGTACAGCATGACCAGCAGAAACATCATGCCAGGCGACACCACCAAGAAGCCTGGCCCAGGAGCTCACTCACCGGAGAATGTAAGTCTGTAGCAGTGACTAAGTATCTAGCAGTGAAACATTGTTAGGAATATCAGATTTCTGGTCCTTGTATAGGAAACAATGATATCAGTGTCAGATCCAGGATTTTGATAAAAGCACTACCTGACAGAGTGTGTCTCAGGTTGACATGAACAAGGAGTAAAAGCAGGGAGTGTGCGTCCCCTGCACCCCTCTCTGGATCCATCAATGATATGTCAGGAAATACCAGGAATGGCTTTCATAAATGGGAATCAAACTCATGACTTGCATGACAAGCCAGCACACTAACAACTGACCCACTCGAACTTCCTTCTCAACTTGGATGAAGAATGGTAGGGCTGGGACGAATCCAAATTTACTTCCCAGATACACGACGCCCTATTACCTGACCCTACCCGGGCACCCACTATAGGTCTCAGAGAGTTCAGTACAAAATGTCTAAATGAGAATTGTTTTACCGCAGCCCAGGCAAAAACTTGATAGAAGCTTTATCCTTATTCGAACATATAAAAGTCAGAACGAATGCTTGCATAGTCAGAGAAAAATGTGAACATAAGCTATACTTGTAGTGTAACCGCAGAATTTTATTGTTAATGTCATCAAACAGTATATCACGTGACTAAGCCGGGTAGTAGTGTGGGTTACCTGTCCCAGCCCTAGAGAATGGATGTACTGTTGAATCTCATTGGTTTTTTTATATTTGCCTCTTCTATGAGGGGCGGTTGGGTAGCCTAGTGGTTAAAACGTCCGCTCATCACGCCAAAGACCCGGGTTCAATTCCCGACATGGGTACAGTGTGTGAAGCCAATTTCTGGTGTACCTCAACGTGAGATTGCTGGAATATTGCTAAAAGCGGCGTAAAACCATACTCACTGACTCTTCTATGAAGTCTTTCAATCAGCTGGAGATACGTCGTTCTGCTATTTGTCATGTGTATGTGGAGGGTGTATAACATGGAGTTTTATCTTCCCAGGTATGGATCAACAAGAAGAAGGAACCCGACTTCTCCTTTGGAATCCGACACAGCCAGTACCTTGCCCCACTCATTGTTGATGTTCAAGAATAGGTCTCCATGGCAGCAGAGACAAATCAAAACACATTGTTCAATGCACAGAACAAAAAACATTTCATGATCAATACCTTTCTCAATCACCTTGTGTATGTTGTACAGTGCAGCCTTTTACCATTGTTATGTATTATAGAATTTAATGTGTCACATTATGTACAGGTTTGTTGACTTTTTGCCAAAGATGAGAATATTGCTCAAATTTAAAGTCAGTTCCATGTGTCAGTATTAGCACTGATATTTATATACGTGAATTCATATAAGGACTAGTAGCTTCTACCCATTTGTTTCGAAATTTATTTCGCAGTAGGAGAAAAAACGTGGGAGAATTTTGTGTCATCTGGATTTCAGCCAACTATACATTAATCATATGGTTGTTTACAGTATTATTATTTGAATGTTTTATGGTTTTTTTTGTACATTTCTATATTTAATGCCCTCTAAGCATGTATATTTATATCTTTGAGTATCTTTGAATTATATATTTGTGAGACATCAATCATGTTTTTAATCTACTGACTGTTGAAAAGGTTTCATTTTCAATTCTTTAACATGCACAAGAATCAAAAATATTTCTGCTAATTTGTCAGATTTTGTCAGTATTATTGTATTGATACTTTTATACATATTTTTGAAGGGCTTGTTTTGTGCTAACATTTTGTAATAAACATGTATGTATATATAAACATTGTGAGGTTAATAAACCTGTGTGATGTGAATGATTATCTTCTCGTTATTCTCTTATGTTAGATAGCTACGCTATAAACCGCAAAGAACAACGAAGAATGAAGCCTGGTTTATTTCACGATAAAACATCGTTCTATCATGTCACTTCTGGAGATTCAAATATACCTTCACAACATGATGACGTCATATATTGGACAACGTTATTTTTGAGAGGGAAGTGTCTAGTAAGTTGTTCCCCATACGTGTACCTAAGCTACACAGATAAACGCAGTGACTGAACAATAGCATCCAAAAGTTGTAGAGATAGGACAATCAGTATTAGGAGAAAAGGTACAGATCATTCAACGTGAGGATTGTGAGAATATGCGAGAAATACCAAACTTAACCCACCTGTTCGTAAAATGGACATCTGACATTTCCCCATACTTTAACATAGACTTACGATGATCATAGACCTAAGATCGCTTTATGGAACGGGGCGCTGAGGTTGCTGAGCTGAAGATGAACATTGGCTTTCTGAGCAGTTTTAATTTTTTAAATTTCAAATTAAATTCTACCTGGCACTTTTTTAATTCTTTACACAAGTTCTGGTGAAAATCTGGTTGTCTTCATTCCTGAGACTTGACATATACAGCTGTTTGAAAGCAAAAGAAAAATGAAGGTGATTATCTTTCAGTCCTAATACACATTAGAATGACATAGCCACACTGGTCTGCCTTGAGTAGTTGTATGCCGTGTACCGGTACTCTCAAAATTAATTAATCTGTACACCCAGATAGTCCATGTTAGAATTTCCAGCCAGGGCATCTCATCAAGTCTACAAGATTGTTGGTAGTTTTAAGCCACAGTCAGCAACATTTTACATTTATCACAGTAGCCTGTGAATAATCAAGTCTGAGCCAGAGAAACTGGTGATTCTGGGTGAGAATTGGTCCCCAGGAACTTACGCTGGATGTAAGTGGGAACTAAGGACTCCGTAACTTGGTTGATGGTGGGTCATATCCTGATGGCTTGGATCAGTGTTGACAATATCAAACACTGGATTGTCCGTCCAGACTCAATTATTTACAGGCTTCCATTGTAAAGATGCAATATTGCTGAGTGTGGCATTAAACAACAAACACCATGTTGGTATGATGACCCAGTCAATCAAGTCACCTGGCCAGACCACCCAACACATGTTGGCGCCTCTCACAACAAGCTTAAAACAAGGGTTTGGTGTTGAAATGAAGATTATTTCAATCATATAGTGATGTACATGGAAATGTGGTGTGGCTGTACTTGTACTAGTTAGTATTTATGTCAGTTTAAAGCTCTGCCTGCTAACGTCGAACCCATTCGACAGAGGTGCTAGCCAACTGAGATATCATTGCTGCAGTTTAACATGGATACCCGACTCCAACACAGTATACAGACTCAGAGCCAACCAGTCCATGTTCTATCCCCCTAATGCAAAGAGCCAGGCAGGGTAACAACAAATACCACCCTTTAACATGTTTTGGCAGGATGCGGCCAGAGGATTGAACCACTGATATCTCACTGGGAAGGACAGATGCTCTACCCAATTGACCGAACGGAGAAATACTGTTAGGGACAGGAGACAAATTAACTCTTTTGAACCTCAACAACTCCAAGCAGTCCAGTCCTTTCATCCCTTATGCTGATTGCCAGGCAGGGTAACAACAAGTACCATTTTTTAACATGTTTTGGGATCAAACAACAGAGCTGGGGACCTTTTCTATCATGTGTTCTGGTCGTCTACAAGTGACACAATGAAAACAACAGACACAATAAAACACAACATAGTTTGCACAATAGTTTAATCATAGACATAAAATTATAACAAAATGATGAATAAATGCATTGGTAATATGCCATGATATGAACTAGCTGACACAACTGGCACAACACAACTGCTGTGGGCAAGGCTGTCTACACAACTCACTGGCTGAGCTTGGGGGTCCACATCCATTATAGAGTCTAAGGTCTGCCATTTTATGTCATCTAAATACACTTAACAGTAGTAGCTCAATTATTTGGTCAACTGATGTGTCTACAATTAATGGTTATGCAGTTAATCCTCAATCAAAATAATTCTGGAACGTACATGATGTCTCAAACATTTTTAAATAATTAACTGGTCATTGCTTTTTCTTTGAAAATATTTTGTTGGGACATAAATATTGTCTTTATATAATAGTATACGACCATATCACTTTATTACTCATATTGGATATAGGGCCGTTCAGTTTGGCGTTTTCCACTGAAACAGGTGATCTCAGGAGATAGCCTTGAGTTCATGCAAATGTTTACTGTAAATGTAATCAATATCATTTTGAATTTATAAGTAATTAATAATAATAATAATAATAATAATTATAATAATAATGGCAGCAACAGGACTGGCAATTGTACAATGAACACTGATTGTCCAGTACTTAACTTACATAAGTACTGGTTTATATTTATTCTCTGCCCGACTACACGGTAACTAAGCAATATCTGGCAGCCATTGAAAGGTCCAGTTGATTGGCAGGTTAAGCAAAGGCCCAAGCATGAAATCAACAATCGTCTGGCAGCTTACGTCGGTGATCACCTGCTGGGCAACTTACGTCGGTGATCACCTGCTGTGTACACACGATAACACTAGGTACCGACAAGGGCAATGGACATGCAATAATGGCTTATCATGAGGCCACAAGAACTTAATAACTTGTTGAATGATACACAAAGAATTTCCTATATAGATATGCAAATAAAGAAACAATAATGCCAAATTTTAAGATATGTTAAAACTTATGACGTCATTACACATGATCGTCAAAACTTCAATACATCAAAACGATAATCATATTTGGTCATTTTCTTGTCTGAAGAAGAACTGACTGAGTGAGGAAAGTCGGACCTGGACAATCTGAACTGGTTAGAAATATCTGTGAAATAAACATGTATGCAACTACTGAATTAGTTTTAATATGTTTTCGATCCAGTCAGACATATTCATTACACATGCAATAGGATTCAACAGTTTGCATCTGGAAAATGCCAACAGTTTGTTTTCAGTTAGAATACTTGCATAACCTTACTTTCTTACATTGTTTGTTTTTCAAGTACAAGAATATTCGCTTTTAAACCAAAATTTAAAACTTTACATTTTTAATGTCACAGAGGTAATTTTGAAGTATGAGAAGCAATTTATTGTGGCCTAATCTAACATGAGCATCTCTGGGCTAATGATGGTATAACATCCCTCTTTGTTCTGGGGAAGTCGTGCAGGAACCGTATGTGGCAATACCACCCGGGAACAAATCTGTGGCGGTACATTCCAGCTCATACAAATAGTGATTATTAATGACGTAAATAGTTGTTAGGTTAATATCATGTGATAACACACAGACACAGCATGGCACAGCTGATATATGTATAGAACAGTTGGTCAATTGCGTGTAGCACAGTTGATACGTACTGACGTACAACAACGTTTCACTACAGACCTCAAGCAGTATCAAAACAACATCATTCACCCATGTTATTCAATGTATACTACTCACAAGAAGTTAAACAACACCCAATTCTTTCATACTTGAATCTGTCACTGCAAGACATGAACTAGAGTAAAATGTAAGAGCGGTTGTTCTTTAACTTCTTTTGAGTAGTATATATAAAGTAGGGATGTCACGATTCACTTATGTATCAATGCATCCTGAATTTACATGATACACGATTCATGTCTTAATTCTGTATAGATTTTCAAAAGTATTGTATTTAAAGTTTGCAATACCCCGGCCATGTTTCTACTGAGGCTAGCATTACAAAACCCGCCCTCAAAACAAAATGCTAAATCCGATTGTATAATACCAGGTATAGTTTCTCTGATAATACAATCAGAATTAACCTAAATTCACCAGCCAAGCAGGTTAAACACAAATTAGCTAACAGCAACAACCTCTTGTTTGCCAAGGTACATGAACATGGAGATGTTCACACAAAACACTGCAATTTAACTATTATATGTGCATAAATATACAACTGAAAAGAATTTAAAGAACACCCAATTTTTTCGTATGACTATAGTTAAGCTGTCATGGCCATGACAGAATAATTATAGACATGAAAACAGTTAGGTGTTCTTTAACTTCTTTTGAGCAGTATATATCAGGACTCTAGTATCATGCTATGTATTGATACATGAGGTAGGCGTATCTTGACACCCCTGAAAGTAAGAACTAAACATTGATTGACACCTGTAACAGATATGAGTAATAAAAAACTGAAAACCTATTACAAAGTATGGCGGAGTTAACATACTGGTATAAGTCACTCGTTTATTGACACAGTTATTACGGTTTTAAAGAATCATAACTTTACATTTTTCAGTCAGTATCGGGGTAGCTGACGAATTACTTACATTCTAAATTGATTCATTCATGATCACATATTACTTTTCAGATATAAGTCCTTATGCATTTTTCTCTATTTTAATGACATGTTAACTGTTTCTGACAATACTTTACAAAAATATTTGAAAATAGGACCAATTGTAAAATGATATTAGTTGTGCCAATAAATTAAACACTCGTTAAAAAATAATTTGAAAATAATTAAGATGTCAGCAATAATTATTCATCACTTACTCCAGCTGCAGAGGTAGAAAAATGAGGTAATTTTGAATGTGTTTAATAAGTCAAAACGTCATTTATGTCTTGCTGATTTATTTTAATGAAGATGATTTTTCCCCAGAGCAATGAATACTGTATTCAATGTTTTAGCACAAATAAGCAACACTCCCATCCTTTGTATGTGCTCTAAGTGCTTAATACATTGCATACAGTACAATTAGTAAACCACACGAGAAACTCAAATCTCCAACAATTGTAAGATGAAACATACCAGAAAACCATACTAAATGATAATAAGCTTATTCCAAGATACTCCACGTATTTTCTGTGCATTCATTATGGGAGAAAATCAGTAGCTCCTCAGGTTGAAATGATTTTCCAACACTAATGAAAACAAATTTGATATACCGTAA